CCTCCCTGCCCCTCCCTCCTCTTTGCCCCTCCCCTCCCTCCCCTGCCCCCTCCCCGTGCTCTCCCCGCACTCACCATGACCTGGAAGGGGCTGTTGGGGATGTGCTCTCCCCCGAAGCGCACGCAGATGACGTACTTGCCGGGCTGGGGGGCGGTGTAGAAGATGTCGAAGGTGCCGTCGGGGTTCTCCACCACGTCCACGTCCACCTCGGAGCCGTCGGGGGTGCACACGGAGCACGTCACCTTGCCCTTGCCCGCCGCCTTGGCGTCCACCGTGATCACCGTCTGCTCCCCGATCTGGATCGTGGGGCCCACCCCGGCCCCTGGGGGGGGAGAGACACACGGGGGGAGGGGGTTATGGACTGACCTTGGGGGGCTCCGGGGCTGCCCACCTGCTGGGAGCCCCAAATTGGGGGGCTCTGGGGCTGCCCACCCACTGGGACCCCCAAACTGGGGGCCTCTGGGGGTGCCCACCTGCTGGGAGACCCAAATTGGGGGGTTCTGGGGGTGCCCACCCGCTGGGACACCCAAACTGGGGGGTTCTGGGGCTGATCACCCACTGGGACCCCCAAATTAAGGGGTTCTGGGGCTGCCCACCCGCTGGGACCCCCAAATTAGGGGGTTCTGGGGCTGCCCACCCACTGGGACCCCCAAATTGGGGGGCTCTGGGGCTGCCCACTCTCTGGGAGCCCTAAATTAGGGGGCTCTGGAGCTGTCCACCCACTGGAAGCCCCAAAGTGGGGGGCTCTGGGGGTGCCCACTCTCTGGGAGCCCCAAACTGGGGGGCTCTGGGGGTGCCAACCCGTTGGGACCCCCAAATTGGGGGGTTCCAGGGCTGCCCACCCGCTGGGAGCCCCAAATTGGGGGGTTCTGGGGCTGCCCACCCGCTGGGACCCCCAAACTGGGGGGTTCTGGGGCTGCCCACCCGCTGGGAACCCCAAATTAGGGGGTTCTGGGGCTGCCCACCTGCTGGGACACCCACATTAGGGAGTTCTGGGGCTGCCCACCCGCTGGGAGCCCCAAATTGGGGGGTTCTGGGGCTACCCACCCGCTGGGAGCCCCAAATTAGGGGGTTCTGGGGGTGCCCACTCTCTGGGAGCCCTACATTAGGGGGCTCCAGGGCTGCCCACTCTTTGGGAGCCCCAAATTAGGGGGTTCTGGGGCTGCCCACTCTTTGGGAGCCCCAAATTAGGGGGTTCTGGGGTGCCCACTCTCTGGGAGCCCTACATTAGGGGCCTCTGGAGGTGCCCAGCTGCTGGGACCCCCAAAGGACCCCCAAACTGCGGGTGTCAGGACAGTGACTCGTGCTGTGACACTGTCAAGGGGCTCTTGGGCTGCCCACTCTTTGGGAGCCCCAAATTGGAGGGCTCTGGGGCTGCCCACTCTCTGGGAGCCCTAAATTAGGGGGCTCCAGGGCTGCCCACCTGCTGGGAGACCCAAATTAGGGGGTTCTGGGCTGCCCACACACTGGGACCCCCAAATTGGGGGGTTCTGGGGCTGCCCACTCTTTGGGAGCCCCAAACTGGGAGGCTCAGGACGGTGACTCGTGCTGTGACGCCGCCAGGGCCACCCCAAAACGGCCCCCCTGCCCCATCCTGGGGGCTCTGGGGCTGCCTGACCTGAGCCCTGAGCCTGAGCTGAGCCCAGTCCCGAGCCTGATCCTGGTCTTGAGCTGAGCCCTGAGCCCAGCCCTGAGCCCTGAGCCAAGCATTGAGCTGAGCCCTGAACCTGATCCTGGTCCTGAGCTGAGCCTGATCCTGGTCCCAAGCTGAGCCCTCAGCCTGAGCTGAGCCTTGAGCTTGAGCCTTGAGCTGAGTCTGAGCCTGAGCTGAGCCAGAGCCTGAGCCTTGAGCTCAAGTCTGAGCTGAGCCAGAGCCTAAGCCCAAACCCTGAGCCCAAACCCGAGCCTGAGTCATGCCGTGAGCATGAGCTGGGCCCAGCCCTGAGCCCAAACCCTGAGCCCAAACCCTGAGCCTAAACCGAGCCCAAAATCGAGCCTGAGCTGTGCCATGAGCATGAGCTGGGAACACCCTGAGCCCAAACCCCGAGCCTGAGCCCTGCCATGAGCTGGGCCCAAACCCTGAGCCCAAACCCTGAGCCCAAACCCTGAGCCCAAACCCTGAACCTGAGCCCTGCCATGAGCTGGGCCCAAACCCTGAGCTCAAACCCTGAGCCTGAGCCGTGCCGTGAGCTGGGCCCAAACCCTGAGCCAAACCCTGAACCCAAACCCTGAGCCAAACCCTGAGCCCAAATCTGAGCCTGAGCCGTGCCATAAGCATGAGCTGGGCCCAAACCCTGAGCCAAACCCTGAGCCCAAACCCTGAGCCAAACCCTGAGCCCAACCCCGATCCTGAGCCGTGCCGTGGTCTTACCTAAGCCGTGACCTCCGATGGAAACTACAGCGTGGTGGGTGGGGGTGGGTGGTGGAGTGGGGGTGGGTGGGGGTGGGTGAGGGTGGGGGTGAGGTGGGCAGAGAAGCAAGAAATCCAGTGAGACACACGTGGTGAGACCCCCGACCCCCCTGTGCCCCCAAGCCTCCTCAGTGCCCCCCCAGACCCCTCCCTGCCAGCGGGAAGCGCTGGGTGTGCTGGGTGGGTGGGCGGGGTGCCAAGCCGTGTCCCCCACCCCGAAGGGTGGGGGTGAGGGGTGGGCAGAGAAGCGACAAATCCAGTGACACGCACGTGGTGAGACCCCCAAACCCACCCACGCCACTCCCCAGCCCAGCCCAGCCCAGCCCTCTGCCAGTCCCGGCCGTGCCCTCCCCATTTTGGGGCCATCAGGGGTCCCCCTGGCCGTGCCCCTCCTCATGTCACTGCCATCTGTCCCCTGGTTGTGCCCCCTCCCCATTTCAGTTCTTTCTGTCCCCTGGCCGTACCCCCTGCCCCTGCAGAGCCCCCCTGGCTGTGCCTCCTCCCCAAGTCACTGCCATCTGTCCCCTGGTTGTGCCCCCTCCCCATTTCAGTTCTCATCAATCCCTGGCTGTACCCCCTGCCCCTGCAGAGCCCCCCTGGCCGTGCCCCCTCCCCAAGTCACTGCCATCTGTCCCCTGGCCATGCCGCTGTCACTGTCCCCTGGCCGTGCCCCCACCCTTGCAGAGCCCCCTGCCTGTGCCCCCTCCCCCATTTCAGTTCTATCTGTCCCCAGGTTGTGTCCCCTGCCCCTGTCACTGTCCCCTGGCTGTACCCCCTGCCCCTGCAGAGCCCCCAGGCCGTGCCCCTCCCCATTTCAGTTCTATCTGTCCCCAGGCTGTGCCCCCCGCCCCGCCCCTGTCACTGTCCCCTGGCTGTGCCCCCTGTCACTGTCCCCTGGATGTGCCCTCCCCTGCAGAGCCCCCAGGCCGTGCCCCCTCCCCATATCAGTTCTATCTGTCCCCTGGCCATGCCCCCTCCCCATTTCAGTTCTGTCCCCTGCTGCTGCCACTGTCCCCTGGCCATGCCCCCTGTCACTGTCCCCTGCTGCTGTCACTGTCCCCTGCCCCTGTCCTGCTGTCACTGTCGCTGTCACTGTCCCCTGCCCCTATCACTGTCCCCTGGCTGTGTCCCCTGCCCCTGTCACTGTCCCCTGGCTGTACCCCCTGCCCCTGCAGAGCCACCCAGGCTGTGCCCCCTCTCCATTTACTGTCCCCAGGCCGTGCCCCCCGCCCCGCCCCTGTCTCTGCCCCTGTCACTGTCCTCTGCCCCTGTCACCATCCCCTGCCCCTGTCACTGTCCCCTGCCCCCATCACTGTCCCCCGTCACTGTCATTGTCCCCTGCCGCTGTCACTGTCCCCTGCCCCTGTCATTGTCACTGTCCCCTGCCCCTGTCACTGTCTCTGTCCCCTGTCACTGTCCCCTGCCCCTGTCCCTGTCCCCTGCCGCTGCCCCCCGGTGCCCCCATGACGTGCCCCCCTCACCGGTGACGGTGCACTTGCTGGCGTCGCCGGTGGGCACGGCGCGGATGCGGTATGGCGAGTAGGGGATCTCGTCGCCGCCGTACTTGATGAGGATGGTGTAGCGGCCCGTCATGTCGGGCACGTACGACACCGTGTACGTCCCGTCCTCGTTGTCCCGGATCGACGCCTTCTTGGGCTTCCCCTCGGGGTCCTGGAGGGGGGGAGGAACAGAGGGACACGAAGGGATCAGGGGGGGAGGATGGGGTGGAATGGGGGCACCCTGAAAGGCCCTGCGGGCCCCAAATCCTGACACCTGAAACACTCAAATCCCAAAAACTCTGACCCCCAAATCCTGACACCTGAAACACCCAAATCCCAAAAACTCTGACCCTCAAATCCTGACACCTGAAACACCCAAATCCTGACACCTGAAACACCCAAATCCCAAAAACTCTGACCCCCAAATCCTGACACCTGAAACACCCAAATCCTGACACCTGAAACCCCCAAATCCCAAAAACTCTGACCCCCAAATCCTGACACCTGCAATCCCCAAATCCCAAAAACTGACCCCCAAATCCTGACACCTGAAACACCCAAATCCTGACACCTGAAACACCCAAATCCCAAAAACTGCCCCCCAAATCCTGACACCTGAAACACTCAAATCCTGATACCTGTAATATCAAATCCCAAAAACTGCCCCCCAAATCCTGACACCTGAAACACTCAAATCCCAAAAACTGACCCCCAAATCCTGACACCTGAAACACCCGAATTCTGACACCCAAAAGCCCCCCAAACCCCCTAACCGTGATCTGCACAGCCAGCAGCCCCTCCAAACCCCTCATAAACCCCCCCAAATCCCCCATAAACCCCCCCAAACCCCTCATAAACCCCCAATTCCCTCTGACCAGTGATCTGCACTGGCCAGCAGCCCCTCCAATCCCTCATAAACCCCCCAATCCTCTCATAAACCCCCTAACCCCTCATAACCCCCTAACCCCCTCATAACCCCCAAAGCCCCCAATCCCCCTGACCGTGATCTGCACGGCCAGCAGCCTCAAACCCCTCATAACCCTCCCAACCCCTCATAAACCCCCAAACCCCTCATAAACCCCCCACTGTGATTTGCACGGCCAGCAGCCCCTCCAATCCCTCATAAACCCTCCAAAAGCCCCCAATCTCCCCACCGTGATCTGCACGGCCAGCAGCCCCTAATCCCCTCCAAAACCCCTAACCCCTCATAAACTCCCCAGAACCCTCATAAGCCCCCAAACCCCTCATAAACCCCCCTGACCATGATCTGCACGGCCAGCAGCCCCTCCAATCCCCTCATAAACCCCCCAATCCCCTCATAAGCCCCTAACCCCTCATAACCCCCCCAAAAGCCCCCAATCCCCTGACCGTGATCTGCACGGCCAGCAGCCCCTCAAACCCCTCATAAACCCCCTAACCCCTCATAACCCCCAAACCCCTCATAAACCCCCAAACCCCTCATAACCCCCAAAACCCCCAATCTCCCCCACCGTGATCTGCACGGACAGCAGCCCTCAAACCCCTCATAACCCCCAACCCCTCATAAACCCCCAAACCCCTCATAACCCCCACTGTGATCTGCACGGCCAGCAGCCCCTCCAATCCCCTCATAAACCCTCCAAAAGCCCCCAATCTCCCCCCACCGTGATCTGCACGACCAGCAGCCCTCAATCCCCTCATAAACCCCCAAAAGCCCCCAAGGCCCCCTGACCGTGATCTGCACGGCCAGCAGCCCTCAATCCTCCATAAACCCCTCCAATCCCCTCATAACCCCCCAAAGCCCCCCCAACCCCCACCGTGATCTGCACGGCCAGCAGCCCTCAATCCCTCATAAACCCCCAAACCCTCATAAACCCCCTGACCGTGATCTGCACAGCCAGCAGCCCCCAAAACCCTCATAAACCCCCAAACCCCTCATAACCCCCAAACCCTCATAAACCCCCTCCAATCCCTCATAACCCCCAAAAGCCCCTGACCGTGATCTGCACGGCCAGCAGCCCCTCAAACCCCTCATAAACCCCCAAAACCCCTCATAACCCCCACCGTGATCTGCACGGCCAGCAGCCCTCAAACCCCTCATAACCCCCAATCCCTCATAAACCCCCAACCCCTCATAACGCCCCCAACCCCTCATAAACCCCCCAAACCCCTCATAAACCCCCAAACCCCTCATAACCCCCAAAAGCCCCCAAGCCCCCTGACCGTGATCTGCACGGCCAGCAGCCCTCAATCCCCTCATAAACCCTCCAATCCCCTCATAACCCCCAAAGCCCCCAACCCCCACTGTGATCTGCACGGCCAGCAGCCCTCCAATCCCCTCATAAACCCCCCAAAGCCCCCCAAACCCCCCACCGTGATCTGCACGGCCAGCAGCCCCCAAACCCCTCATAAACCCCCAACCCCTCATAAACCCCCAAACCCCCTAACCCCTCATAAACCCCCCAAACCCCTCATAACCCCCCCAAAAGCCCCCAATCCCCCCTGACCGTGATCTGCACGGCCAGCAGCCCCTCGCCGGCGTCCTTGGCGTCGATGGTGAACTCCACGGGCAGGCTGGCCGGGACCCCCGTGGTGTTGAGGCCGGGGCCGCTGGCCCGGACCTTGCTGGCGTCGTGGGTGGGCAGAGCCTTCACCTTGAAGGGGCTGGGGGCGTGGGAGATCACCACGGACCCCCAGACAGGAGGAATCCTGTGCCCACCCCCAGACCACCCCAAAACCTTCCCTGAACACGTCGGGTGCCCCCCAGAGCCCCTCTGGAGACTCCCAGAGTGCCTCCAGAGCCCCCAGAGCCCCCCGGTCTCCTCAGAACACCCCCAGTGACCCCCAGAGCCCCCCAGTGCCTCCCAGAATCCTCAGAATGCCTCCAGTGTCCCCCAGGTCATCCCAGAACACCTCCAGTGCCCCCAGAACCTCCCAGTGCCCCCCAAAGCCCTAATGGAGCCCCCAGAGCCCCCAAAGCCCTAATGGAGCCACCCAGAGCCTCCCCAGTGCCCCCAGAACCCCTCCAGTGCCCCCCAGATCCCCCTCAGTGTCCCCTAAAGCCCTACTGGAACCCCCAGAGCCCCCAAAGCCCTACTAGAGCCCCCAAAGCCCTACTAGAACCCCCAGAGCACCCCAAAGCCCTACTGGAACCCCCAGGTCCCCCCAGAGTCCTACTGGAACCCCCAGAGCCCCCAAAGCCCTACTAGAACCCCCAGAGCCCCCAAAGCCCTACTGGAACCTCCCAATGCCCCCAAAGCCCTACTAGAGCCCCCAAAGCCCTACTGGAGCCCCCAATGCCCCCCCAAAGCCCCACTGGAGCCCCCCAAAGCCCTACTAGAGCCCCCAAAGCCCTACTGGAACCCTCCCAATGCCCCCAAAGCCCTTCTGGAACACCCCAGAGCCCCCAAAGCCCTACTGGAACCTCCCAGAGCCCTCCAAAGCCCCCCAAAGCCCCACTGGAACCCCTCAGTGCCCCCCAAAGCCCTACTGGAACCCCCCAAAGCCCCACTGGAGCCCCCCCAAGCCCCCCAGGCGGTACCTGCGGGGCACCTCGTGGTCCCCGTAGCGCACGGCGATGCTGTAGGGCCCCTCTCGGGACGGGACGTAACTCACGCGCCGCGTCCCGTCCCCGTTGTCCGCCACGTCCACCGGCTCCACCACGCCTGGGGGGCGCGGGGAGGGGGTCAGGGGGCACCAAGGGGCGGCCACGGCCACCCCCCACACTCACAGGGCAACCCCGAAACCCCACAGGGCACCACGGACCCCACAGGGCACCCCAAAACCCTGCAGGGCACCACGGACCCCACAGGACATCCCAAAACCCCACAGGGCACCACAGACTCCACGGGACATCCCAAGACCCTACAGGACGCCACAGACCCTGCAGGCCACCCCAAAACCCCACAGGGCACCTCAAGACCCTGCAGGGCACCCAAAACCCCACAGGGCACCTCAAGACCCTAAAGGGCACCACGGACCCCACAGGACATCCCAAAACCCTGCAGGGCACCACGGACCCCACAGGACATCCCAAAACCCTACAGGGTACCCCAAGACCCTGCAGGGCACCACGGACTCCACGGGGCATCCCAAGACCCTGCAGGGCACCACGGACCCCACGGGGCATCCCAAAACCCTACAGGGCACCCCAAAACCCTGCAGGGCACCAGGAACCCCACAGGACACCCCAAGACCCCACAGGACACCCCAAAACCCCACAGGGCATCCCAAAACCCTGCAGGGCACCACAGACCCCACGGGACATCCCAAAATCCCACAGGGCACCACAGACTCCACGGGACATCCCAAAACCCCGCAGGGCACCACGGACCCCATGGGACACCCCAAAACCCCACAGGGCACCACGGACCCCACGGGACATCCCAAAACCCTGCAGGGCACCTCAAAACCCTGCAGGGCACCACGGACCCCACAGGACATCCCAAAACCCTGCAGGGCACCACAGACCCCACAGGGCACCACAAACCCTACAGGGTACCCCAAAACTCCACGGGACACCCCAAAACCTCCCCAGGACACGCCACCACCCCGCAGGGTGTCCCCCCCTGACCTTTGGGGCCCTGGACCTTGACGTCCAGCGGGGCCACCCCGGCCTTGGAGGTGTCCACGGTGAAGGTTTGGGGGACGTTGGCGCGGACGGAGCCCGGGGTGAGCCCCGGCCCCGAGCACGTCACGCGGGACGCGTCCACGGGGCACGACACCGGCACCTGGAACGGGCTCCCTGGGAAAGGGGGGATCCCAAATTAATGGGGGGCACTTATGGGGTCATCCCAGAGACCCACAGACACCCCCAGCCCCCATGGCCCCACACAGGACACGCGGAACGCGTCCACGGGGCACGACACCGGCACCTGGAACGGGCTCCCTGGGAAATAGGGGGATCCCAAATTAATGGGGGGCACTTATGGGGTCATCCCAGAGACCCACAGACACCCCCAGAGCTCCCACAGCCCCCATGGAGCCCCCACGGCCCCACAAAGGACACACGGGACGCGTCCACGGGGCACGACACCGGCACCTGGAACGGGCTCCCTGGGGAATAGGGGGTCCCAAATTAATGGGGGGCACTTAAGGGGTCATCCTACAGACCCCCAGGACGCCCCCAACCCCCCCCAGCCCCACCTGGGACCTGGTGGCCGCCGTAGGTGACGTTGAGGCTGTAGGTTCCCAGCTCATATGGGATGTATTCCATAAAACAGCCCCCCAAAACCACCCCAAAACCACCCCAGGATCCCCCAGAGCCCCCAAAACCCCCAAATCCCTCAAACCCCCCCAGCCCCACCTGGGACCTGGTGGCCGCCGTAGGTGACGTTGAGGCTGTAGGTTCCCGGCTCATATGGGATGTACTCCACGGAACAGCCCCCAAAACCACCCCAAAACCACCCCAGGATCCCCCAGAGCCCCCAAACCCCCCAAATCCCCCAAACCCCCAGCCCCACCTGGGACCTGGTGGCCGCCGTAGGTGACGTTGAGGCTGTAGGTTCCGGGTTCATATGGGATGTATTCCACGGAACAGCCCCCAAAACCCCCAGGACCCCCAGAGACCCCCAAAACCACCCCACAACCCCAGGACCCCTCAAACCCCCCCAGCCCCACCTGGGACCTGTGGCCGCCGTAGGTGACGTTGAGGCTGTAGGTTCCGGGCTCATATGGGATGTACTCCACGGAACAGCTGCCGTCCTTGTTGTCCGTGCAGGACATCTTGGCCTCCGAGGGTCCCTCCACTGCCAGCCCCAGACCCCCGTGCCGGCACCCCTGGGGGGGGAAAAAACAGAGGGGGGGTCAGGGGGGCACCCCCAGGACCCCCAGGGAACACGGGAGGGAGGGGGAGTGGGAGGGAGAGGTTTGGATATTTTGGGGTCAGCAGGGGAAGGGTCTGGGGGGAGGGAGAGGTTTGGATATTTTGGGGTCAGCAGGGGAAGGATTTGGGGGGGAGGGAGAGGTTTGGATATTTTGGGGTCAGCAAGGGAAGGATCTGGGGGGGGAAGGAGAGGTTTGGATATTTTGGGGTCAGAAGGGGAAGGATCTGGTGGGGGGAGGGAGAGGTTTGTGGGGACGGAGAGGTTTGTGGGGACGGGGATGGTTTGGGGTCAGCAGGGAAGGATTTTTGTGGATCTGGGGTGTCCCTGGTGGGATCTGGGGTGTCTCTGGTGGGATCTGGGGTGTCTCTGGTGGGATCTGGGGTGTCCCTGGTGGGATTTGGGCTCTCCCAGCCCCGGGGTCTCACCGTGTCTCCACGGTGAACTTGTTGGGGGGATCTGGGGTGTCCCTGGTGGGATCTGGGGTGCCCCTGGTGGGATTTGGGGTGTCCCAGCCCCGGGGTCTCACCGTGTCTCCACGGTGAACTTGTTGGAGGGGTGTGGGTGTCCCTGGGGGGATTTGGGGTGTCCCTGAGTGGATCTGGGATGTCCCTGGGGGTGCCCCTGGTGGGATCTGGGGTGTCCCTGGTGGGATTTGGGGTGTCCCTGGTGGGATTTGGGGTGTCCCAGCCCCGGGGTCTCACCGTGTCTCCACGGTGAACTTGTTGGGGGGTGTGGGTGTCCCTGGTGGGATCTGGGGTGTCCCTGGTGGGATTTGGGGTGTCCCTGGTGGGATTTGGGGTGTCCCTGGTGGGATTTGGGCTCTCACCGTGTCTCCACGGTGAACTTGTTGGGCTGGTTGGTGGTGCCGCTCTGGATGCCGGGCCCGTGGACCCTCACGCGGGTGGGGTCGCAGCCCTCGGTGACGGGGACACGGAAGGGGCTCAGGGGCACGGGGGTCCCATCGTACGTCACCTCCACCGTGTGCAGGCCTGGGGGCAGCGGGGCAGGATGAGACCCCTGAGCACCCCCTGAACCTTCCTGAGCCCCTCCTGAACCTTCCTGAGCCCCCCTGAGCCACCAGGACCACCCTGAACCCCCTGAATTCCCCTGGAGCCCCCAGGACCCTCCTGAGCCCCCCCTGAGCCCCCTGAAACCCCCAGAGCCCCCAGGACCAGCCTGAACCCCCTGAATTCCCCTGGAGCCCCAGGACCCTCCTGAGCCCCCTGAGCCCCCTGAACACCCCAGAGCCCCCAGGACCCTCCTGAGCTCCCTAAATCCCTCAAGCCCCCCAGAGCCCCCAGGACCCTCCTGAGCTCCCTAAATCCCTCAAGCCCCCCAGAGCCCCAGGACCCTCCTGAGCCCCCTGGAGCCCCCATGTCCAACACAGGTCCCTCGAAGGGGTCCTGCATGGTCAGGGTGCAGCCCTCCAATGTGAGTGGGGGCACAAGGGGTCACCCCACACCCCTTGGAACCCCAGAGCCCCCCAAGACCCCCCGGCTCAGGGGCCCTGTAAGGGCTCTCTGTGCAGGTGGGGGTCCCGTGTGAGTGGGGGCATGCACAGGGTCCCAGGTCACCCCAACACCCCTTGGGACCCTCAGAGCCCCCCAAGACCCCCCCTCAGGCTCAGCAGGGCCCTGGAAGGGGCTCCCTGTGCGGGAGGGGGTCCCATGTGAGTGGGGGGCATACACAGGGTCCCAGGTCACCCCCACACCCCTTGGGACCCCCAGAGCCCCCCAAGACCCCCCCCAGGCTCAGCAGGGTCCTGGAAGGGGCTCCCTGTGCGGGTGGGGGTCCCGTGTGAGTGGGGGGCACACATGGGGTCCCAGGTCACCCCCACACCCTTGGGACCCCCAGAGCCCCCCAAGACCCCCCCTCAGGCTCAGCAGGGTCCTGGAAGGGGCTCCCTGTGTGGGTGGGGGTCCCGTGTGAGTGTGGGAGGGTCATCCTATGGGGTCAGAGCCCCCCCTGAGCCCCCCCCCAGCTCACCCTCCTCGTAGGGCGTGTACTCCACGTGGTAGGTGCCGTCCCCTCGGTCCTCCACGAAGGTCTCGGTGACGTTTCCGGAGGGGTTGGACACGAGGGTCTTCACGTGGGGCCCCCCGGCCTTGCTGAGCGCCCGCGCGTCCACCTCGAACTCCGTCACGGCCTCGCGGAACACGCCTGGGGGGCACGGGGGGGTCAGGGGGGTGGCCAGGCCTGCCCTGCCCAGCCCTTCCCAGCCCTTCTCATCCCATCCCAGCCCTGCCCTGCCCAGCCCTTCCCATCCCATCCTTTCCTATCCCATCCCATCCCATCCCTTGTCATCCCAGCCCAGCCCTGCCCTGCCCAGCCCTTCCCATCCCATCCTTTCCTATCCCATCACATCCCAGCCCTTGTCATCCCAGCCCTGCCCTGCCCTGCCCTGCCCTTCTCATCCCATCCTTTCCCATCCCATCCCATCCCTTGTCATCCCAGCCCTGCCCTGCCCTGCCCAGCCCTTCTCATCCCATCCCTTCCCATCCCATCACATCCCATCCTTTGTCATCCCAGCCCTGCCCTGCCCAGCCCTTCTTATCCCATCCCAGCCCTGCCCTGCCCAGCCCTTCTCATCCCATCCTTTCCAATCCCATCCCATCCCTTGTCATCCCATCCCTGCCCTGCCCTGCCCTTCCCAGCCCTTCTCATCCCATCCCAGCCCTGCCCTGCCCAGCCCTTCTCATTCCATCCTTTCCTATCCCATCCCATCCCATCCCTTGTCATCCCAGCCCTGCCCTGCCCAGCCCTTCTTATCCCATTCCAGTCCTGCCCAGCCCTTTCCATCCCATCCCTGCCTGCCCTGCCCCTCCTATCCCTTCTCATCCTGTCCTTTCCCATCCCATCCCATCCCATCCCATCCCCTCCTCGTGGTGTCACCCCAGTGGTGTCACTGTCACCCCACACTCACCCTTGCCCTCACGCCGGGCCCGAACACCCTGATGCCGGCAGTGTCACCCTGATGGTGTCACCCCCCTGGCTGTGTCACCCCAATGGTGTCACCCCAATGGTGTCACTGTCACCCCAATGATGTCACCCCAATGGTGTCACTGTCACCCCAACAGTGTCACTGTCACCCCAGTGGTGTCACCCCAATGATGTCACTGTCACCCCACACTCACCCTTTCCCTCCACGCCCGGCCCGAACACCCTGACGCCGGCGGTGTCACCCCAGTGGTGTCACCCTCACCCCCCACACTCACCCTTGCCCTCCACACCGGGCCCGAACACCCTGACGCCGGCGGTGTCACCCTGATGGTGTCACTGTCACCCCAGTGGTGTCACTATCACCCCAACAGTGTCACTGTCACCCCACACTCACCCTTCCCCTCGACACCCGGCCCGAACACCCTGACGCCGGCGGTGTCACCCCAATGATGTCACTGTCACCCCACACTCACCCTTTCCCTCCACGCCGGGCCCGAACACCCTGACGCCGGCGGTGTCACCCCAATGATGTCACTGTCACCCCAATGGTGTCACTGTCACCCCAGTGGTGTCACCCCAATGGTGTCACTGTCACCCCAACGGTGTCACTGTCACCCTGATGGTGTCACTGTCACCCCACACTCACCCTTCCCCTCGATGCCGGGCCCGAACACCCTGACGCCGGCGGTGTCACCCCAATGATGTCACTGTCACCCCAATGGTGTCACTGTCACCCCAGTGGTGTCACTGCCACCCCACACTCACTCTTTCCCTCCACGCCTGGCCCGAACACCCTGACGGTGTCACTGTCACCCTGATGGTGTCACTGTCACCCCACGCTCACCCTTTCCCTCCACGTCGAACACCCTGATGCCGGCGGTGTCACCCCAATGATGTCACTGTCACCCCAGCGGTGTCACCCCAATGATGTCACTGTCACCCCACACTCACCCTTCCCCTCGACGCCCGGCCCGAACACCCTGACGCCGGCGGTGTCACCCCAATGGTGTCACTGTCACCCCAACGGTGTCACTGTCACCCCAATGGTGTCACTCTGACCATCCACACTCACCCTTTCCCTCCACGCCAGGCCCGAACACCCTGACGCCGGCGGTGTCACCCCAGTGGTGTCACCCCAATGGTGTCACTGTCACCCCAATGATGTCACTCTGACCCTCCACACTCACCCTTCCCCTCCACGCCGGGCCCGAACACCCTGACGCCGGCGGTGTCACCCCAATGATGTCACTGTCACCCCACACTCACCCTTCCCCTCCACGCCCGGCCCAAACACCCTGACGCCGGCGGTGTCACGCTGATGGTGTCACTGTCACCCCAGTGGTGTCACTGTCACTCCAATGATGTCACCCCACACTCACCCTTCCCCTCAACACCCGGCCCGAACACCCTGACGCCGGCGGTGTCACCCCAGGGGTGTCACTGTCACCCCCCTGGCTGTGTCACCCCAATGATGTCACTCTGACCCTCCACACTCACCCTTTCCCTCCACGCCGGGCCCGAACACCCTGACGCCGGCGGTGTCACCCCAGCAGTGTCACTGTCACCCCACACTCACCCTTCCCCTCGACACCTGGCCCGAACACCCTGACGCCGGCGGTGTCACCCCAATGGTGTCACTGTCACCCCAATGGTGTCACTCTGACCATCCACACTCACCCTTTCCCTCGACGCCCGGCCCGAACACCCTGACGCCGGCGGTGTCACCCCGATGATGTCACTCTGACCCCACACTCACCCTTCCCCTCCACACCCGGCCCGAACACCCTGACGCCGGCGGTGTCGCGCGCGGGCTCCACGCGGACGGTGCTGGGGAAGTGGGGCACGGGCTGCCCGCCGTACTCCACGGTGATGGTGTACACGCCGGGGCTGCGGGGCGTGTAGGCGATGGTGTAGGTGCCGTCGCCGTCGTCCTCCACGCGCACCTCGGCGCGGGCGCCGGCCTCGGAGGCGATGCCGATGGTGAGCTCGGCCGTGCCGGCGCGGCTGCAGTCCACGCGGAAGCGGCCGGGCTGGCCGGCCGTGGCCCCCTCCAGCCCCGGCCCCTCGCAGGTCACCTTGGAGGGGTCGAACTGGGGCCGCACCGGGGCCCGGAAGGGCGAGCCCGGCACGTGGGCGCCGGCGAACAGGATGTTGATGTTGTAGTCGCCGGGCTCGGTGGGCAGGTAGGACACGGAGCAGGTGCCGTCGCCGTTGTCCAGGCACTCGATCTTGGCCTCGCAGGGACCCTCCACCGTCAGCCCCAGGCCCCCCGTGCCCGCGCCCTTGGTGTCGATGGTGAAGGGCGCCGGCACCCCCGCCAGGCCCCCCTGCAGACCCGGCCCGAAGGCGCGGACCTGTGTGGGGAAATGGGGGGTGGGGAGTCAGGGGATGGTGGGGACACCCTGAGGGGTGGGGGTCAGAGAGCTGGTGGGGACCCTAGGACACCCTGAGGGGTGGGGGTCAGGGGTCATGGTAGGGACCCCAGGACACCCTGAGGGGTGGGGGTCAGGGAGCTGATGGGGACCCCAGGACACTCTGAGGGGGTGGGGGGTCAGGGGGTTATGGCACCCCAAACACAGCCCCACAGGGTCCCAAAACTGATCCATGGGGTGATCCCTGGGACCCAAATGCAGCCCCACAGGGTGACCCCAACACCCCTACCCCAAATACAGCCCCACCCCAAATACAGCCCCACCCCAAACACAGCCCCACAGGGCGACCCCAACCCCCCACACCCCAAATACAGCCCCACAGGGTGATCCCTGGGACCTCCACCCCAAATACAGCCCCACAGGGTGACCCCAACACCCCCACCCCAAATACAGCCCCACCCCAAATACAGCCCCACAGGGTGAGCCCCACACCCCCCCATCCCCACAGGGGTGGTCCCCAGGCCCAGCACCCACCTTGGAGGGGTCAGTGGGGGGCACGGCCTCGACGGGGAAGGGGCTGCCGGGCACGGGGACGCCGTCGTAGGTGACCTCGACGCTGTAGGGCCCCTCCTCGCGGGGGATGAAGCGCACCAGGCTGTTCTCGGGGTTCAGCCCCGGCTCCACCGTGCAGGGCACCCCCTTCCTCGAGGGGCCCGTGATCCGCGCGCCCACCTTGCCCTGGCCCCCCGCGCCCTTGGACTTCACCGTGAACTCCTGGTCCTTGCCCACCTCCAGCTCTGTGGAAAGGGCGGGAGGGGTGAAAAAAAAGGGGTGTCAGCGGCCTCAGAATGGGGGGGCCAGGCTGAGATGAGGGTTGGGATTGAAATTTGGGGGGGTCCAGGTTCATATGGGGTGGAGAGACTGAAATTGGGAGGTGGAGATTGGAATTGGGGGGATCCAGGCTGATATGGGGAAGTGGAGACTGAAATTTAAGGGTCTAGGCTGATATGGGGGGGTGGAGACTGAAATTTGGGGGTCCAGGTTGATATGGGGGGGTGGAGATTGAAACTGGGGGGTCAAGGCTGACATTGGGGGGTCGAGGCTGATATGGGGGGTGGAGATTGAAATTTAAGGGTCCAGGCTGATATGGGGGGTGGAGATTGAAATTTGGGGTTCAGGTTGATATGGGGGGTGGAGATTGAAATTTGGGGGTTCAGGTTGATATGGGGGTGGAGATTGAAATTTGGGGGTTCAGGTTGATATGGGGGTGGAGATTGAAATTTGGGGGTCCAGGTTGATATGGGGGGTGGAGATTGAAATTTGGGGGTTCAGGTTGATATGGGGAGGTGGAGATTGAAATTTGGGGGTCCAGGTTGATATGGGGGTGGAGATTGAAATTTGGGGGTTCAGGTTGATATGGGGAGGTGGAGATTGAAATTTGGGGTCCAGGTTGATATGGGGGGTGGAGATTGAAATTTGGGGGTTCAGGTTGATATGGGGGGTGGAGATTGAAATTGGGGGTTAGAGATTGAAATTGGGGGTCAAGGCTGACATTGGGGGTTGAGGCTGATATGGGGGGAGACTGACACTGGGGAGGGGGTGGAGATTGAAATTTGGGGGTCCAGGCTGATATGGGGGTGGAGATTGAAATTTGGGGTTCCAGGCTGATATGGGGGGTGGGGACTGAAACTGGGGGTAGAGGTTGAAATTGGGGGCCAGGCTGATATGGGGGATAGAGACTGAAATTGGGGGGGTAGAGGTTGATAGGGGGGGGTCAAGATTGAAATTGGGGGGTCCAGGCTGATATAGGGAGGTGGACATTGAAATTGGGGGTAGAGATGAAATTGGGGGTAGAGATTGAAATTAGGGGCTTGGAGATTGATATGGGGGAGGTGGAGACTGAAATTGGGAGGGTCGAGGCTGATATGGGGGGTAGAGATTGAAATTGGGGGGTAGGGATTGAAATTTGGGGTAGAGCCTGAAATTGGGGAGGTAGAGCCTGAAATTTGAGGCTGGACCACAAAATGAGGGGCTGCACCCCAAAATCAGGGGCTAGAACCCAAACCCCTGACCCCAAGACTCCAGAAAGCCCCCAGGCCCCCACCCATCCACGTTCCCCAGTGCCCCCAGCCCCAGGGACCTCCCAACTCCTCCAAGGACCCCCAAGACCCAGAGCCCCCACCCAGGACCCTGGGATCCCTCAGGGACCCTCCCAGCCCTCAGAGGACCCCAAGTGACCCTCCCCAACCCCTAGGATCCCCAACCCCTGAGACCCCCAGTCCTGGAGGGTTCCCCAGTGTGCCCCCTCCCCACATCCCCAAGGCCCCCAGCCCCTGGGGACCCCCAAACTCCCCAGGACCCCCAAAGCCCCCTTACTGTCGTCCAGGCCGGAGATCTTGATCTTGCCCAGGTCCAGGCTGGGGTCACCCCACGCTGAAGGGGCTTTTCGGGATGGGGTCCCCCCGTAGGTCACCGAGACCCCAAATTACCCTGGGGAGGCACGGGAGGGGGGTCAGGAGGGGTCATGGCCCCCAACATTGTAAAGCGGGAGTTTTGAGGGGGGTTCAGGGTTTTGGGGTCCCTCACCTGCTGGATGGGGGTGTATTTGGGGGGTTCAGGGTTTTGGGGTCCCTCACCTGCTGGATGGGGGTGTATTTGGGGGGTTCAGGGTTTTGGGGTCCCTCACCTGCTGGATGGGGGTGTTTTAGGGGTGTTTTGGGGTCCCTCACCTGCTGGATGGGCATTGTAGGTGTTTTGGGGTTGTTTTGGGGTCCCACCTGCTGGATGGGTGTGTAGGTGACCCATGGGGGTTATGGGGAGCTTGGGGCCCTCACCTGCTGGATGGGGTGTAGGTGTTTTGGGGTGTTTTGGGGTGTTTTGGGGTCCCACCTGCTGGATGGGGGTGTAGGTGTTTTGGGGGTGTTTTGGGGTGTTTTGGGGTCCCACCTGCTGGATGGGGGTGTAGGTGTTTGGGGGGTGTTTTGGGGGTGTTTTTGGGGGTGTTTTGGGGTCCCACCTGCTGGATGGGGTGTGTTTTGGGGGTGTTTTGGGGTCCCACCTGCTGGATGGGGGTGTAGGTGTTTGGGGGGTGTTTTGGGGGTGTTTTGGGGTCCCACCTGCTGGATGGGGGTGTAGGTGTTTTGGGGGTGTTTTTGGGGCGGTTTGGGGTGTTTTGGGGTGTTTTGGGGTCCCACCTGCTGGATGGGGGTGTAGGTGTTTTTGGGGGTGTTTTTGGGGGTGTTTTGGGGTCCCACCTGCTGGATGGGGGTGTTTTGGGGCCCCACCTGCTGGATTGGGGTGTAGGTGTTTTGGGGGAGTTTTGGGGGTGTTTTTGGGGCTGTTTTGGAGTCCCACCTGCTGGATGGGGGTGTAGGTGTTTTGGGGGTGTTTTGGGGTGCTTTTGGGGGTGTTTTGGGGTCCCACCTGCTGGATGGGGGTGTAGGTGTTTTGGGGGAGTTTTGGGGGTGTTTTTTGGGGTGTTTGGGGTCCCACCTGCTGGATGGGGGTGTTTTGGGGCCCCACCTGCTGGATTGGGTGTAGGTGTTTTGGGGTGTTTTTGGGGTGTTTTGGGGTGTTTTGGGGCCCCACCTGCTGGATGGGGGTGTAGGTGACCCATGGGGGTGTTTTGGGGCTGTTTTGGAGTCCCACCTGCTGGATGGGGGTGTAGGTGACCCATGGGGGGGTTATGGGGGTGTTTTTGGGGTGTTTTGGGGTCCCACCTGCTGGATGGGGGTGTAGGTGTTTTGGGGAGTTTTGGGGTGTTTTGGGGTGTTTTAGGTCCCACCTGCTGGATGGGGTGCAGGTGCTTTGGGGCTTGGGGTGTTTTTGGGCTGTTTTGGGTCCCACCTGCTGGATGGGGTGTTTTGAGAGGTTTTGGGTGTGTTTGGGGCTGTTGTTTTGGGGTCCCACCTGCTGGATGGGGGTATGTTTGGGGGTTTGGGGGTTTTTGGGGTGTTTTGGGGTCCCACCTGCTGGATGGGGGTGTAGGTGTTTGGGGGGTGTTTGGGGGTGGTTTGGGGTGTTTGGGGCTGTTTTGGGGTCCCACCTGCTGGATGGGGGTGTAGGTGTTTTGGGGGAGTTTTGGGGGTGTTTTTGGGGGTGTTTTGGGGTCCCACCTGCTGGATGGGGGTGTAGGTGTTTTGGGGGAGTTTTGGGGGTGTTTTTGGGGGTGTTTTGGGGCCCCACCTGCTGGATGGGGGTGTAGGTGACCGTGTGGGTCCCGTCCAGGTTGTCCTTCACCTCCAGGTCCTTGACGGCCTCTCCCTTGGCGGGCCCCGTCACCTGCACGTCCAGGGGGGCTCTGCCCCCCGCCTTGGCGTTCACCGTGAAGTGGGTGGGTTTCCCCAGCTCCACACCTGGGGGGGGACACAGGGAGGGGCGTCAGGGGGGTCCCCAAATCCCCCTCAGCCCCCTCCCTGTGCCCCCTCCCCTCCCCAGACTCACCGGAGCGGCTCAGCCCGGGACCCTCGGCCTTGACCTTGCTGGCGTCGTGGGAGGGGTCCACCTTCACCCGGATGGGGCTGGTGGGGGCCTGGGACCCTAAAATCAGCCCCCTCTGTGTCCTGACCCCCCTGGAGACCCCTCTGCAGTCCCCTGCCCTCTGTGTCCCAATCAGCCCCCTGAGCCTCAAAATGACTCCTGAGACCCCTCTGCAGTCCCCTGCCCTCTGTGTCCCAAAATCAGCCCTCAAAGCCCCAAAATCAGCCCCCAAAATGAGCCCCCTGGAGACCCCTCTGCAGCCCCCTGGCCCCTGTGCCCCAAAATGAGGCCCCAAAGCCCCAAAATCAGCCCCCAAAATGAGCCCCTGAGACCCCCTCTGCAGCCCCCTGGCCCCTGTGTCCCAAAATGGGGCCCCAAAGCCCCAAATCAGCCCCCAAAATGAGCCCCTGAGACCCTCTGCAGCCCCTGACCCCTGTGCCCCAAAATGAGCCCCTAAAGCCCTAAAATGACCCCCCCTGGAGACCCTCTGCAGCCCCCTGACCCCTGTGCCCCCAAAATCAGCCCCCAGCCCCATGACCCCCGAACCCCATGCAGCCTGACCCTGTGCCCCAAAAAGCCCTGAACCCCAAAATGACCCCTGAACCCTCAGCAGCCCCCTAGGTCCCTAGTGCCCCAAAATCACCCCCTCAAAGCCCCAAAATCAGCCCCCGAAATGACCTCCCTGGAGACTCCTCGTGCAGCCCCCTGCCCCTGTGCCCCAAAATCAGCCCCCGAAGCCCCAAAATCAACCCCTGAGCCCCAGAATGAGCCCCTAAAGCCCCCTGAGCTCCCCACCCCAGAGCCCCCAGCCCCACCTGATCTGCGAACAGCACCATGATGGTGCAGGCCCCGGCCTCACAGGGTGTGTATTTGTATGTACAGCACAAGGCCCCTGAACCCCAAAATGAGCCCCCTGAGCCCTCCCCTAAAGCCCCCAGAGCTCCCCAGCGCTCCACCTGATCTACGAACAGCACCAATGATGGTGTAGGCCCTAGGCCCACAGGGCGTGTATTTGCATGTACAACACAAGGCCCCTGAACCCCCAAAATGAGCCCCCTGAGCTCCCAGCCCCCAGAGCTCCCCAGAGCCCCCAGCCCCACCTGAGTCAGCAAACAGCACCATGATGGTGTAGGCCCCAGGCCCGCTGGGCGTGTATTTGTATGTACAACACAAGGCCCCTGAACCCCACAATGAGCCCCCTGAATCCCAAAATGAGCCCCTCAAAGCCCCCCTGAGCTCCCCCAAAGCCCCCCAGAGCCCCCAGCCCCACCTGGTCAGCAAACAGCACCATGATGGTGCAGGCCCCGGGTCCGCTGGGCGTGTATTTGTGTGTACAACACAAGGCCCCTGTGCCCCAAAATGAGCCCCCAACCCAAAGCCCCCCAGAGCCCCCCCAAAGCCCCCCAGAGCCCCCAGCCCCACCTGGTCAGCAAACAGCACCATGATGGTGTAGGCCCCGGGCCCGCTGGGCGTGTATTTGACGGTGAAGGTGTCGTTGTCGTTGCGGACGATGTCGAAGTCGATGTCGGCCTCGGCCGGGCCCACCACGCCCGGGGCGCATTTGATCCCGATGCTCACGTCCCCTGAGGGGGGGGACACAACAGGGGGGCTTCAGCACCCTGGGACACCCCCCAAACACAGTCCTGGGATCCCTAAACACAGCCAGGACCCCCCATACCAGCCCTGGGACCCCTAAACCCAGCCAGGACCCCCCAAACACAGCCCTGGGACCCCCAAACACAGCCCTGGGACCCCTAAACCCAGCCAGGACACCCCAAACACAGCCCTGGGACCCCTAAACCCAGCCAGGACCCTCCAAACACAGCCCTGGGACCCCCCAAACACAGCCCTGGGATTCCCAAATGACCCAGGACCCCCCAAACACAGCCCTGGGACCCCCAAACACAGCCCAGGGACCCCCAAACCACAGCCCAACAGTCCTTGGGATCTCCAAATCACCCAGAACCCCCAAACACAGCCCTGGGACCCCCAAACACAGCCAGGGACCCCCAAACACAGCCCTGGGACCCCCAAACACACCCAAGACCCCCCAAACACAGCCCTAGGACCCCCAAACACAGCCCTGGGACCCCTAAACACAGCCAGGACCCCCCAAACACAGCCCTGGGACCCCTAAACCACAGCCCAACAGTCCTTGGGATCCCCAAATCACCCAGGACTCCCCAAACACAGCCCTGGGACCCTCAAACACAGCCCTGGGACCCCCAAACCAGCCAGGGACCCCCAAACACAGTCCTGGGACCCCCCAAACACAGTCCTGGGACCCCCAAACACAGCCCTGGGATCCCCAAATGGAGCCCTGGGACCCCCAAACACAGCCCTGGGACCCCCAAACCCAGCCAGGACCCCCCAAACACAGCCCTGGGATCCCCAAACATGGCCTGGTAGCTCCTGGGAACCCCAAACCCCCTGGGACACCCCAAAAGACACCCAAACCCCCTGGGACCCCTCAAAACACACCCTGACAGCTCCCCTATCCCCCTCCCAGCCCCTCAGAGCCCCCCCAGTCCTCCCTCCCCAGCCCCCCAGAGCCCCCAGTCCTCCTCAGCTCCCCAGAGCAGCAGTCCCCCCTGTGCCCACCCTGCCCCCACACGCTGCCCCCAGTCCCTCCACAGCCCCCAATCCCCTCCACAGCCCCAGAGACCCCCGAGTCCCCCTGCCCCACCCTGCCCCACATTGCTCTCCACAGCCCCCAACTCTCCCAGCCCCAGAGCCCCCCAGTCCCCTCCCAGCCCACCTCTGCCCCACATGCTGCTCCCCAACCCCTCCCAGCCCCCAAAGCCCCCCCAATGCCCCCTCCCAGCCTCCCATTCCCCTCCCAGCCCCCCCATTCCCCTCCCCAGCCCCCTCAGAGGCCCCCAATCCCCCTCCCAGCCCCCCAATCCCTCCCCAGCCCCCAGAGCCCCCAATCCCCTCCCCAGCCCCCAGGGCCCCCTCGTGCCCACCCTGCCCGGCCTCGCTGCAGTCCACGGTGAAATAGGTGGGCTCGTGGGCCTTGAGCCCCGTCTTGGCCACGCCGGGCCCGTAAACCTTCACCTTGTGGGGGTGGCTGCCGGCCCCCACCCCCACCTGCAACGGGGAGGGGGCGTCAGCGGGACCCCCACGCACGGGGGACCCCCAACCCCAGCTTGGGACCCCGGGCAGGGGGAACCCTAAACCTGGGCTTGGGACTCCCCAGAGATCCTAAAGCCAGGTTTGGAAAACACCCCCCACCCAGGGCAGGTGGGACCTCCCCCCAAAACCAGGTTTAGGACCCCCCTAAACCTGGGTTTGGGACCCTCCAGGACAGGTGGGACACCCTCCCCAAAAACCTGGGTTTGGGACACCCTCGAAACACGGGTTTGGAACCCCCCCAGGACAGGTGGGACCCCACAAACCTGGGTTTGGAACCCCCCTAGGGAAGGTGGGACCCCCCAAAACATGGGTTTGGGACCCCCAAACCTGGATTCAGGACCCCTCAAACACAGGTTTGGGACCCCCCACCAAAAGCAGTCAAGATCCTTCCTCCCCTCCCCCATTTTTGGGGTCCCCTACCCTGAAGGGGCTCTCGGGGATGTTGACCCCAATGTTGACCCCCTCAACCCCATTTTTGGGGGTCCCCTCACCCTGAAGGGGCTCTGGGGGATGTTGACCCCCTCAACCCCATTTTTGGGGGTCCCCTCACCCTGAAGGGGCTCTGGGGGAAGTTGACCCCCCCAACCCCATTTTTGGGGATCCCCTCACCCTGAAGGGGCTCTGGGGATGCTTGACTCCCCAACCCATTTTTGGGGTCCCTCACCCTGAAGGGGCTCTGGGGAAGTTGACCTCCCAACCCCATTTTTGGGGATCCCTCACCCTGAAGGGGCTCTGGGGATGTTGGACCCCCATAATCCCCATTTTTGGGGGTCCCCTCACCCTGAAGGGGCTCTGGGGGATGTTGACCCCTCCCATAATCCCCGTTTTTGGGGGTCCCCTCACCCTGAAGGGGCTCTGGGGGATGTTGACCCCCCCATAATCCCCATTTTTTGGGGGTCCCCTCACCCTGAAGGGGCTCTGGGGGATGTTGACCCCTCCCATAACCCCGTTTTTGGGGGTCCCCTCACCCTGAAGGGGCTCTGGGGGATGTTGACCCCCCCCCAGGACACCATGGCCGTGTGTTTGATGGGTTTTTTTGGGGTGTAGGAGCAGCTGAAGGTCCCGTTCCCGTTGTCCTTCACCGACACATCCACAGGGTTCCCCTCCGAGTCCTGGGGGTGAGGGGGGGGATAAAAGGGGTCAGGACCCCCCAAAACCCGCCCTGAGACCCCCCTCAAATCCACCCACACCCCTCTGGGAGTCCAAACCCCCCCAATGGCCCCTCAGCCCCCCAGCAAGGGGGTCCCAAATCCTCCTGGTGTCACCCCAAAATCCCATCATAGACTCCCCAAATCCCACCACAGCCCCCCCAAATTCCTCATAGCCCCCCTAAATCCCTCATAGACCCCCCAAATCCCACCATAGCCCCCCCAAAATCCTCATAGCCCCCTAAATCTCCTCATAGACCCCCAAATCCCATCACAGCCCCTCAAATCCCCCATAGACCCCTCAAACTCCTCATAGCCCCCCTAAATCCCCTCATAGACCCCCATAAGTCTCTATCACAGCCCCCAAATCCCACCATAGTCCCCCCAAATCCCTCATAGCCCCCAAATCCACACCATAGACCCCCAAATCCCTCCTCACAGCCCCCAAATCCCCTCTCAGTCCCCTAAAACCCTCCATAGCCCCCCAAATCTCTCATAGACCTCCTCCAAACCCCTCATAGCCCCTCCAAATCCCACCACAGCCCCCCTGAATCACCCCACATATCCCCAAATCCCTCCATCGACCCCCAAATCCCTCTCACAGCCCCCAAATCCCCCCTCAGTCCCCTAAAACCCTCCATAGCCCCCCCAAATCCCACTGCAGACCCCCAAACCCCTCCACAGACTCCCCTAAATCCCCCAGTTACCCTCAAATCAACCCACAGACCCCCAAATCCACTCCCAGCCCCCAATCCTCATTAGACCCCCAAAACCCTCACAGACCCCCAAACCCCCCTCCTCACCTGCATCTGCACTTTGAGGGTCCCTTCCCCGTTCTTGGCGTCCACCGTGAACTCGGTGGGTTTGTTCACAGAGACCCCGACTGCTCCAGCCCCGGCCCGTGGGCCTTCACCTGGGGGCACAGGGGGGTTAAAGGGGGTTTCAGGGTTTTGGGGGATCTGGGGAAAGGGGGATTTGGGGGAAAAGGGATAGATTTGAGAGAAAAAGGGTGAATTTGGGGGATTTGGGGGAAAAGGGAGGATTTGGGGGATTTGGGGAAAAAGTGAGGATTTGTGGGGTCTGTGAGGTCTGTTGAGGATTTGGGGGTCTGTGGGGTGCCACCTTCTCTGGGAAGGAGTCTGGGGGTGGGGGTGGATGTCTGCCATGAAGGGGCTGTGGGGAGGTTTGGGGCTCTCTGGGGGTCTGTGGGGTGGATTTGGGGGTCTGTGGGTTGTTTGGGGATCTGTGGTGGATTTGGGGGTCTGTGGGTCTGTGGGTTGTTTGGGGTGTCTGTGGGGTCCCACCTTCTCCGGGAAGGAGTCTGGGGCGAGGTCGGATGTCTGCCATGAAGGGGCTGTGGGGAGGTTTGGGGGCTCTCTGGGGTCTGTGGGGATTTGGGGGTCTGTGGGGTCTGTGGGTTGTTTGGGGTGTCTGTGGGGGTCCCACCTTCTCAGGGAAGGAGTCTGTGGCGGGGGCGGATGTCTGTCATGAAGGGGCTGTGGGGTGGATTTGGGGGTCTGTGGGGTCTGTGGGTTGTTTGGGGGTCTGTGGGGATTTGGGGTGTCTGTGGGGTCTGTGGGGATTTGGGGGTCTGGGATGGGTTGGGTTTTGGGGGTCTGTAGATTTGGGGGCCTGTGAGGGATTTGGGGGTCTGTGGATTTGGGGGTCTGTGGGGGCTTTGGGGGTCTGTGTGGATTTGGGGGTCTGTGGGGTCTTTGGGGGTCTGTGGATTTGGGGGTCTGTGGGGGTTTTGGGGGGTCTGTGAGGGGGTCTTGGGGGTCTGTGGGGATTTGGGGGTCTGTGGGGTTTTGGGGGTCTGTGTGATTTGGGGGTCTGTGAGGGCTGGGTCTGTGGATTGGGGGTCTGTGGGGGTTTTGGGGGTCTGTGGTGATTTGGGGGTCTGTGGGGATTTGGGGGTCTGTGTGATTTGGGGGTCTGTGGGGGTTTTGGGGGTCTGTGGGATTTGGGGGTCTGTGGGGTTTGGGGGTCTGTGTGATTTGGGGGTCTGTGGGGGTTTTGGGGGATCTGTGGGGGTTTGCCATGAAGGCTGTGAGGTGGATTGGGGGTCTGTGGGGATTTGGGGTCTTGGGTCCCACTTCTCCGGGAATGGTCGCGGGGGCGATGCTGCATGAAGGAGCTGGGGTGGATTTGGGGGTCTGTGGGGATTTGGGGTGTCTGGGTCTGTGGGGTGCTCTGTGGGTCCCACCTTCTCGGGAAGGAGTCTGGGGTGGGGGATGCTGCTGAAGGGCTGTGGGATGGATTGGGGTCTGGGGATTTGAGGTGTCTGGGGGCGGATCTGGGGTCTGTGGGGATAGGAGTCTGTGGGTCTGTAGGGATTTGGGGGTCTGTGGGTTGTTTGGGGGTCTGAGGTCCACCTTCTCCGGAAGGAGTCAGGGGCTGGGGAGAAGTCTGCGGGCTCTATGGGGTCTGTGGGGGATTTGGGGTGTTCTGGGGGTCCCACCTTCTCGGGAAGGAGTCAGGGGCGGGGGCGATGTCGGCCATGAAGGGGCTGTGGGGTGGATTTGGGGGTCTGTGGGGTCTGTGGGGGTCTGTGGGGTCTGTGGGGGATTTAGGGGGTTCTATGAGGGTCCCACCTTTCTCCGGGAAGGAGTCTGGGGGTGGGGGGCGGATGCTCTGGCCATGAAGGGGCTGTGGGGTGGATTTGGGGGTCTGTGGGTGGATCTGTGGGGGTCTCTGGGGTCTGTGGGGGTTTGGGGGTGTCTGTGAGGGGTCCCACCTTCTCCGGGAAGGAGTCTGGGGTGGGGGGCGGATGTCTGCCATGAAGGGGTCTGTGGGGTGGATTTGGGGGGTCTGTGGGGTGGATTTGGGGGTCTGTGGGTTGTTTGGGGTGTCTGTGGGGTCCCACCTTCTCCGGAAGGAGTCTGTGGGGTTTGCGGATGTCTGCCATGAGGGCTGTGGGGAAGTCTGGGGACTTTGGGGGTCTGTGGGGATTTGGGGGTCTGTGAGGGTCTGTGGGGTTGTTTGGGGGTCTGTGAGGGTCCTACCTTCTCAGGGAAGGAGTCTGGGGGCGGGGTGGGATGTCTGCCACGAAGGGGCTGTGGGGTGGATTTGGGGTGTCTGTGGGGGTCCCACCTTCTCTGGGAAGGAGTCAGGGGCTGGGGGCGGATGTCTGCCATGAAGGGGCTGTGGGGTGGATTTGGGGTCTGTGAGGTGGATTTGGGGGTCTCTGGGTTGTTTGGGGTGTCTGTGGGGGTCCCACCTTCTCCGGGAAGGAGTCTGGGGGTGGGGGCTGATGTCTGCCATGAAGGGGCTGTGGGGTGGATTTGGGGGTCTGTGGGGATTTGGGGGTCTGTGGGGATTTGGGGGTCTGTGGGTTCTGTGGGAGATTTGGGGGTCTGTGAGGGTCCCACTCTCTCTGGGAAGGAGTCAGGGGTGGGGGTCGGATGTCTGCCATGAAGGGGCTGTGGGGTGAATTTGGGGGCCTGTGGGGTCTGTGGGGGATTTGGGGGGTCTGTGGGGTTGATTTGGGGGGTCTGTGGGGGTCCCACCTTCTCCGGGAAGGAGTCAGGGGGTGGGGGTCGGATGTCTGCCATGAAGGGGCTGCCCCGGATGTCCTCTCCGTCGCACAGCACGTGCACCGCGTAGGGCCCCGGCTCGGTGGGCCAGTAACGCACCGAGCACGAGCCGTCACCCCCGTCCGAGCACTCGATCCGCGCCTGGGACGGGCCCTCCACTGAGAAACCTGAGATAAGGGACCCCAAAATGAGTCAGGAAACAAAATTAGCACTCGATATGGGCCTGGGATGGGTCCTCCACAGAGAAACGTGCAAAAAGGGACCCCAAAATGAGTCAGGGAGCCCAAAATCCACTGGGAAACCTGCGAAAAGGGACCCCAAAATGAGCCAGGAAACAAAATCAGCACTTGATATGGGCCTGGGACGGGCCCTCCACTGAGAAGCCTGAGAAACGACCCCAAAATGAGTCAGGAAACAAAATCAGCACTCAATCCATGCCTGGGACGGGCCCTCCACAGAGAAACCTGGGAAAAGGGACCCCAAAATGAGCCAGGAAACAAAATCAGCACTTGATATGGGCCTGGGCCGGGCCCTCCATGGAGAAACCTGCAAAAAGGGACCCAAAATGAGTCAGGGAGCCCAAAATACACAGAGAATCCTGGGAAAAGGGGACCCCAAAATGAGTCAGGAAACAAAATCAGCACTCAATCCACGCCTGGGACGGGCCCTGCACAGAGAAACCTGCAAAAAGGGACCCCAAAATGAGTCAGGAAACAAAATCAGCACTCAATCCACGCCTGGCACAGGCCCTCCACTGAGAAACCTGGGAAACAACCCCAAAATGAGTCAGGAAACAAAATCAGCACTCGATATGGGCCTGGGATGGGTCCTCCACAGAGAAACGTGCAAAAAGGGACCCCAAAATGAGTCAGGGAGCCCAAAATCCACTGGGAAACCTGGGAAAGGGGACCCCAAAATCAGACAAGAAACAAAATCAGCACTTGATATGGGCCTGGGATGGGCCTTCCACTGAGAAACCTGGGAAAAGGGACCCCAAAATGAGTCAGGAAACAAAATCAGCACTCAATCCATGCCTGGGACGGGCCCTCCACAGAGAAACCTGCGAAAAGGGACCCCAAAATGAGTCAGGGAGCCCAAAATCCACTCAGAAACCTGGGAAAGGGGACCCCAAAATCAGACTGGAAACAAAATCAGCACTTGATCTGCGCCTGGGACGGGCTCTCCACTGAGGAACCTGGGAAAGGGACCCCATAATGCGTCAGGGAGCCCAAAATACAGTGAGAATCTTGGGAAAAGGGACCCCAAAATGAGTCAGGAAACAAAATCAGCACTCCATATGGGCCTGGGACAGGCCCTCCACCGAGAAACCTGGGAAAAGGGACCCCAAAATGAGTCAGGAAACAAAATCAGCACTCAATCCATGCCTGGGACGGGCCCTCCACTGAGAAACCTGGGAAAAGGGACCCCAAAATGAGTCAGGAAACAAAATCAGCACTC